AAACAAGGGAAGATATACATCCTTTTTAATTGCAATTATCCAGTTTAGGTTGACAGGCTCACCTTGTAGATAAAGCTACACCCTTAGTTAGCAGGATGCTACAAATCATGCCACAGACAAGGAAGGGGAGATAAGACAAGAACAAAAGGGGCTTTTGATCACATAATTGGAGGATCTGGTAATTATAATTGTTGCTAGGCGGTCGGAAATCGTGTGACTAATTCAGACCTATCAACTGGGTTTGAAGAGGAAGGATGTGGCGTGATGTAAGGGACGGGGTATAAAAGTCTATGCTGAAATTGATTCAGGTGTGGCCCTTTACTTGCAGGTAGAAGGATACACCAGCTTTTGCAAAAGCTTTAATAAAATTTGTTTTGTTTTCCAACACTCTTGGAGTTGAATTTTTATTCCTCACAAAAGGGATGGGAAAGTGATCTGTCACAAAGTCCTGGTTTCTTATGTGGCCTCTTGGAAAAATAAATTGCCCTCCCCCAGCTGGACCAAGAAGAAGGGCCTTCTCCATAGTGATTCCTTCACTGTGGAACATCATCGCCATGGAGATAAGATTGGCCCTCACTTTGAGATTCTTTTGCAAGGCCCCGAAGACCTGGTTTTTATTATATTTGTATTGGGTTTTTATCCTTGTAAGCCCCTGGGAGTCACTGAGAATGAGTTGGATGGCCATATAAATTTTCATAAATAGAAAAAAAATAAAGTAAAATATATATAAAATAAATTAAAATAACATATGGTTCAAATACAACATAGCCATTAGAGCAGGCATGTCAAACTCGTGACGTCACGTGACATCGTGCAACGTATCGGGCCGGTTTTGCCATTGCCGGCAATGGGGTGGGCGCGGCTTCCACATGACATGTCCGGCCTGTGGGCCGGCAGTTTGATACCCCAGCATTAGAGGAAGTGTAAACATTTTAAAATCCTAATTTTAACAACCCAATACCCTAATTTTAATACCCACTCAATGAATAATTCTAATGAATTTAAAAGATTTGCTCAGGTTTTGGTGAGATTTTGATCACTCTTTTAAATATATTATAAATGTTGCAGGTTCTGGATATATAATTCACTCTTAGTTTTTCCTTCAATTGCTGCAAAGAAAGACGAAAATAAATCTTTCATTTTTGTAGTATTCTATCTTAATGATCTGTACAGAAACTCTGCATTTCTGTCTCTCTCCTTTCCTAGCTATTTCTGCGTACCAAAGAAATTGGGCACAGGAGAGGCACGAGAAGGCTTTGCTATTACAGTACATTATATGAGAACCAGTTTGATAGTCTTTTAAATTTCTTCTTGTCTCATTGGCCACCTTGGATGACTAATGATACAGGTAACTAAAACTAAAATTCCCAGGATGCTTGTGTTCTGTCCTCATCAAGCCGACAATGCTTATTATCCATAACGAACTCTGGATTGCCTTACAATTTCTTGAATTGTAATAATAATAATAATAATGATAAAGGGAGGGAAGGGATCTCGGAGGTCATCTAGTCCAACCTCCTGCTCAGGCAGGAAACCCTATACCATTTCGGACAAATGGCTGTCCAGTTTCTTCTTAAAAACTTCCAGTGTTGGCGCATTCACCACTTATGGAGGTAGGTTGTTCCACTGGTTAATTGTTCTAACTGTCAGGAAGTTTCTCCTTAGTTCTAGGTTGCTTCTCTCCTTGGTTAGTTTCCACCTGTTGCTTCTCGTCCTGCCTTCAGGCGCTTTGGAGAATAGCTTGACTCCCTCTTCTTTGTGGCAGCCCCTAAGATATTGGAACACTGCTATCATGTCCCCCCTCGTCCTTCTCTTCGTTAGACTAGACATACCCAATTCCAGCAACCGTTCCTTATATGTTTTAGCCTCCAGTCCCCTAATCATCTTTGTTGCTCTTCTCTGTACTCTTTCTAGAGTCTCAACATCTTTTTTACATCGTGGTGACCAAAACTGGATGCAGTATTCCAAGTGTGGCCTTACCAAGGCATTGTAAAGTGGTATTAATACTTCACGTGA